ACTATACATGGCTTTTTCTCTTTTGTAGAAAATAACTTAAAAGTTAAAAAAAATGCAAACCAAAAATCAGTTTCCAACCTGGAGTTTGGAAACTCCAAACTCGCTGGCTTCTACCTTCTTCTCATTAACACTTGCTGGCTGTCTACCTTCTTCTCATTAACACTTCTTAACTACTCTTCCTCCTCTGTCTTCCCTGTGGCTTCGTGCCCCTTTCCAGGCCAGGGCCGCAAGGGGGCTAGTGCTATTCCTACCCGCAACTCCCAGGAGATGTGTGCTGCTCAGACAAGGGGCAGGCCTGGGATGGGGAGCTGGAAGCTGAGCTACCATTCACTGCCCTCAAGCTTCCTCCTTTGTGACATGGTACAGATCTAATTACAGTGAGCTGGGGATGTAGCTTAGTGGCACAAGCACCTGCCAGCAAGCACAAGGTCCTGAGTTTGAGTCCTGGTACAAAATAACAACAAAAACATGAGCAGAGAGAAACGTTAGGATCAAGCCATGGCTGGGCTGGGAAAAATGCGTGTGCCCCCTAACCACACAGCAAGACAGGCATGGCACCAACTTTTGAGTAGGGCGTGAAAGCCCTAGGGTTTTGTTTGAATAGAACTGACATCAAAATGCTACATCCAAAAACGAAGTGGTTGCAGAAAACAATTCTCTGTGGTTTCGCACAGCCAAAACCCAGGACAAATGCTGACTTTGTTTTGTATTTGGAGAACACGCTGTCATGAATCCTGCCGCACTTCCCGGGTCCAGACTGCCAAGAGATGTTCTGGAAGTGGCTCCTACAAGTGAGGGACAGATACAGCCCCTCAGTGCCACTCACGCGGCCACATGTGAACAAGGAAGTCAGGACAACGGGCTCAGCAGTGCCGAGAGGCAATTGTTCCCCTACTGCGGAAAGTCTGTTTCTTTCTGTGTCAAGACAGCACAGCAGCCCCCAGCCCCAAACTGTGCTTTGCCATCTTTTTTCCCCTTCCTGTTTTATAAGACGCTTGCTTTTGGCTTATATTTGCTAATGAACAGAGAAAGTTACTACGTATTTGCCATTTGCGCCCTTGGTACCGAGTTAGTTCAGCTTCCCAAGCGATCACTAGTCATTAAGGATGAAAATCCAGCATCCCTCCAAACTGCGAGGGACAACTCCCTTGCTGACAATGAGATTCTTCTTGGCCTTGCCGGTTAATGAGGCCAGAGAACAGGCACAGGACAGTGCGTGCTTTGTTTCGCTGCTCTTCTGAAAGGCTTTGTGTTCTCAGAGCCCCAGCAGATGCTGGGGTGGAATTCAATCGGTCTCCTGGTGAGAAATCAAGGAAACCGGGCTGATCCCTGTTTTGATGCGAATGGGACAAATGGAACAAAATCTCTGGCTATGGCAACCAGAGGAAATTGGATGGATTTGTATTTGCCTGACCTTCCTGGGCTAGCAGGTAACAGTTCAATAAGGAAGCGGGGCAGCTGCACGCTACGGCACTAGACAGGGCAGCAGCGCCTGAGAAGCATTTAGAGTCCATTCCTCTCGGGGGAAGAGGGGAAACAGGCCGGGGGTGGGGGGGTGGGCAGCACAGAGGGCACGCTGCCGGGCACCCCTCACGTGTCGGCGCTTTGTTTCAGGAGATGACATACAGCCCGAGGAAGACTTGGGGGCTCCAGCTGCAGGCAGAGGAGCCCCCTCCTCACGGGGCGCTGGGGATGGGATGCGCACTGTGCACTGTGGGGTGCGCCTCCCTCTGGCCAGCCACGGAAGAGGAGTTGTCTTCCTGTGTAGAAAACTCACCCCTTCTTCCACACAGCTCCTCGGTGACAAGAGGGCAAGTGTGCCGAGGGTCTCCTGGGTCTCAGAGCGATCTCCCAGGAGCCTATTCCCTGTTGTACGGGAACACGCAGGACAAGAACATCTGTGGCACAGCGACACCTGGCTTCAAGGTAGACTCGCTGCTTTTCCCGCCAAATGTGGCTCTGAAGACGACCTGCTTTCTTCACGTAGGCTGAGGTCGTCCTCCAGGCCACCCCACTCGTGGCCACCAGGGTGGTCCGCTACAACTTTCACTCAGTGGCCAGTCTGTGACGCTGGCACCCTCTCCTGGTGGGCTCACTGGAGATTCCCCGACCTTTTCTTTGGCTGACAAAGTGCGGGCCTGAGCAGTGTTTTCAAGATATTTGAATAAAGCGCTGTTAAAGACTAGGTACTTCACACTGAATACAGATGTCTGGCCTCCGGGGGCCTAGAAGCTATGGCAATGGTCTCACCCACTAACATGCACCAGCTGAGCAGCCACGACTGTGCGGGGCCCACATCCTCTGGCCGCCACTGTCTCTCCTACACTCTGCCGGCTCCCGCGGTCCTCAGTCCTGTTGTTAAACGTTACTCGGGCTAGCATGAGCAGCTTAGCAAGAGCCTACCATGCAAAAAAGGCTAGGTGATCTAGCTAGGTTAGACCCCAGTACCACCAAAACAAAAAACGCACTGCTCTAAATCACGTGCTCTAAGTATTTTACTGTTTTTAATTTATCTTTGTTCATGGTGTCTTCTGCTAAGAAGAATTTACAAGTTCTTCCTTTGGCCTTGATGCAATGCTAAGAAAGACCTTTCCGAGTCCATGGTTACAGTCCTTTTCTCAAAGTATTCCCAGTGTTAGCCAAATGCCCATAACCACCCCTGACTGTCCCCTTGCTCTGTAATGCAACCAGTGTGGCCTAGAGCCGTAACCCCCTGTAACACCCTGCAGGGGCTCCCTCTGCACTCAGACCCTGGCAAGGCTCTGGGGCGGTCCCACGTACCCTGACAGTTGAGAACATCTGCCCTCTTTCTGGTCCCGAAACAGACCTGATCTGTTTGATTTCCTCAGTCTGGCCTTGCTCCGCTCCTCCTCCCGTTTCCACTGTAAATGCTGCCTGCCGCCTGGGTGCCCGCCCCCATCAGCCCAACTACAGTGGCTGCTCCAGCTCCACACTGGTTATTCCCCAACACTATGAAATGCAGCAGGGCTCTTGTTTACACTCCACAAGGACAGGGGTTTCTGCCTGGACCACTTCTGGCACCACTAGCTAGTCTACAATAGTAACTGAATGCATTTGTCATTTGTCTAGTGATGTGACGTGATATTTGTACCATGCATTAAATCCCTGAATGCCTGTTTCTGGTCTCTATCTGTTCCTTTGATCTCCTTGCCTATTCTTGTACTAGTCCCAGGGAAAGCCAATGGGACCATCTGTCGCTAGGCCTACATCCCATGGGCCTGGGCCTGCTTGCTTCACGTCAGCAGGGAAATCACTGTGATGGCATCACCTTTGGGAGAAGTTTGCACATTAGCATACTACTGGCCTTACAGATCAGCTTAGAACTGGCCTTTTCAGTTTAAAAATAATTTAAAAATTTGATACTTTTTAAGTATTAAAATGTATTCAAAGCAAAGTGCAGAGGCATACCTTTCTACTCCCAGCTACTTGGAAGGCTTGAGATCATAAATTCAAACCCAACCTGGATGACTTACTCTTTCTAAAATAAAAAATAATAAAGGGCAAGGGATGTAGCTCAGTGGTAGAGGCCCCTTGCCCTAGATCTACAGTACTATAAAAACAAAGAATAAGAGCAAAGCATATGTCTCTATATTTTTAAGGCTCTACTTCCTTCAATAAACTTGTATAGTTTTCTTCATATTTCTATTTCAAGTTTATTTCTAGAGTACTGTATGCTTTCTATTGCTACTGCAAATGGTAGTCTGGATTTTTTTTTTTTTTTTTTTTTTTTTTTTTTTTTTGATACGTGAGTCTCGCTGTGTACTTAAGGCTGGAGCACAATCCTCTTGCCTCAGCCTCCCAAGTGCTGGCATTACAGGAGTGTACTACCACACTGGGCAGTATTTGGGATATTTGTATCTAGTCATCTTTGTACTGCTTCTAAAGACTTTCCAGTTGTTTATTTTGTCTTTTTCCTAGTTTAAAATAGTAAATTTACTTATTTATTTAAGTATTTGGTATTGGGAATCCAACTCAAGACCTTGCACTTGCCAGGCAGGCACTGTGCAGCTGAGCTATCTCCCCAGCCCCATTAATTAATTTTTTTTATACACAAGTACTTGAACAGTATCTGACACAGTGGGTGCCAGGTGGCATGAGCCCTGACCTCCAGTACTAATGAGTGCGTCCAGAACACAGAATCAAGTGTCAAACTTGACTTTGTGGGAACGTGCCTATGTATCTCACTGCTACATATATGCTTTTTTCTTTTCTATCTTTTTGAGACAGGGTCTCCCTGTGCAGTTCAGGCTGGCCTTGAGCTCACTTTGTAGGCCAGGCTGGTCTTGAACTCACAACAATCCTCCTGCGTCAGCCTCCTGAGTACTGGGATTACAGACATGTTCCAACACACCTGGCTCAGATGTTTGATTTTGTTCAATGCCCACCACATAAAGATGTTATGGTGAATTACAATTAATACAGCTGTTATTATGAAACCATCCTTGCATTTCTGGAATAAACAACTTGGTCAAGCTATTTGCTAATATTTATCCAAGGAACTAAAAACTTGTATTTGTGAGATTTGTAAGATAACCAATACTTCAGATGAAATAGATAAAAGCTTGTTTCCTAAAGGACTACAAGAATTTTTTTGAGTTGGGGGTCTCACTGTGTTGTCTAGGCTGGTCCTGACCTCCTGACCTCCAGTGATCTTCCTACCTCAGCCTCCCAAGAAGCTGGGACTACAGGCATGCACTGCCATGCCTGGCTTACTGCCTGATGAACATCTTGTGTTGTGGCGCTGGGGATGGAATCCAGGGCCTCACCCATGCTAGGCAAGCAATCTACCACTAGGCCACATCCCTAACCCTGTGATGAGTACCTTTTGATTGCTTTCTCAAAATTTTGTGTGGTTATTTATTAATTCCCTGTACCGTTTCTTGGGTCAGAATTTGCCATGTGTATAAAAAGTCATTTTATCACAGGAACATAAGACTATTTCCCTCCACACCAACACAGGCAACCATGCATCTACTCACAGTGGGGTCAGTCCAGAGGGAGCAGCGTGAGCACTCCTGGCAAGGGGCTCCTGGTGAGCGGGGATGCTGGCAGAAATGGTCATACCCGTTGATAGACACTCGACAGAGGTAGCACATCTGGGCACCACAGCGGCAAGACATGCGATTGCAGCCTTCGGACTTGATGAGGCCAGTCCCACATTTGTGGCATTTCCTAATGCGGGCAGCAGTCATTTTTTCTTCACTGAAAAAAGAATACATGATTAGAGCTGGCAGGGAAGATGAAGAAGAAAGAAAAATACTGCTGCGAGTGGTGGTGCACACGTGTAATCCCAGCACTTGGAAGGCTGAGACAGGAAGAGTGATGGGGTTCAAGCCAGCCTGGGCTACACAGTGAGTTCAAAGCCATCCTGAACTATGTTTTGAGACACTATTTAAAAAAAAAAAAAAAAAAAAAAAAAAAAAGAACAAGAAGAAAAAAAGAAAAATGAAAAGAACCTACATTTTGAATCTAAGAATACTTCAAAATTTGTCAATTTTATGACTAAGTTCCTGATTGCATGGACACTCAGTTTGTCACTTGTAAATTACAGCTTTCTCATGGGGTTATCAAAAAGATATAAAGCCTCTGGCACAGTGTCTGGCACCTCACATTTAGAAAAGTAATTTTCTGTTTATTATAGGAATTCCAAAGATTTAAAGTGGTGAGAAAAAAATCTGGTCCCCCTGAATTACATGTTTTATATATTCAAAGCTGGGTAACTATGAACTAGTCAACCCAAAACTGAGCTATACGCCTTGGGTCTTGGAAACTTGGTTGGGGGTGGCACAGGAGCGGATCCAATAACCAGTCTTTGACTTCTAGGTTGAAAGCCAGTCTCCCACGTGAGAGCCCCACGCTCCCAGATTCCCTTGCAGCGAGGGCATGGCGTGCACCTGACTCAGTCACAGCTGAGGGAAAGCACAAGGCTTCCTGTTCCAGAGTCACCTGGACTGACATGGAGGGCAGACCAGAGTCAAAAGACAAACCAGCTAGGCGTGATGCACAGGCCTGTAAGCTCAGCACTGTGTGGGGCTGAGGCAAGAGAACTGCAAGTTCCAACTCAGCCAGACCAACTTAGCAAGGCCATGTCTCAAAATAAAAACAGGGCTCAGTCTGACGGCCCTGTTCAATTCCCAAACCAAACCAAAACAACTCTTCAATGGGAGCTGCCTGCTGCCCTAATTACTCCTACAATACTACTCCTAACTATAAAATGGTGCTTTGCGCCTTGACCCAAGACTCTGAGTGTCTGTTTCCCTTGAAGGCAGATGGCACGGGCACAAAAGGAGGGAGTGCATAGGTATGCCACCGGAACCAGGGTGAGCACACGGGGCGTACGGCAGACAGCCACAAAGAGGACTCGCCCATGAGTGTATCTTATTCCTCCAGGCAGACACCCACAGGATGAGTGCAGGAACTGTTCCACGTTAGCTGTGTGTCAGCTGGGCCAGGGCTGGGACTGTGGGTATATGAGAGACAGCTACGGTGTGCTCTGAAGCCAAATGCATTTGGAAATGGCTGCTGTTTACTTATGTCTAATTTATGAGAGGCCCAAAATGATGGAAAAGCAGACCTTTGCATTGAAAAGAATTTACACTCAGTTCAAGTTACAGAGCAACAAATCACTTGTAAGTTTTGATGAGTAGGAAGTATCATCAAGAAGAAAGTGAAGAAAGTCACAGTGTTCTGTGTTAAGGTTCAAGGTTCTGACGAGAAAGTCTGTGATGTGAAAGCCTGTGTGTGAAGCGCAAGTGCAAATCATCTACAGTACCCACGTTCCCCCTCAGGCCTGGCTTTCACCTGGCGCATGCTGGCTGTCTGGGGCTGGCAGACTTTTCCTCTGGGCAGCTGCTCAGGCTCAGAGAGGTGAGGCTGGAAAAAATTGAGGTTATACTGCCCCTTCCTGAAAGCACAGAAACAAGGTGTATTTGCTTGCTCTGTTGCACCAAGCCACCTGCCACAAAATGAAAGAATAAAGGGTGTGGTGGGGGAGGAAAAGCTACTCTTAAAGTGGACGGGGAAAAATGAAAAACGCCGCCAATTCAACATTGCTGTAACGTTCAAACTGCTGCTCAATAACCCGCGAAGAGCTAGCCATGTCCTCGGCTTCTGCATTTGTAAGAGCAGTAGTAGGAAGGGCCAGCCTCATCCCGGACCTAAAAAGGATCACGATTATGGGAAGTGGTGACCACTACACAGTAGCACAGAAGTGAAAATGGGACTGCACAGAACCCAGAGTTGGCTCTTCTGGGGCTGGGGTGGGTGGTCTGGCAAGTGGATTATGCAGTGGGCAGGAAACAGGCAGCCCCACAGGATGTGCTCCTAGGGTCAGTACAGGAAGAGAAGCTGGAGCTGCAGCTGTCTGCTGACCTGGTGCTCAAACAGGAAGGCTCAGGTCCTCCTCTTTGTAACCAACCCATGAGCCCCATGAGTACCCCCCTTCTTTCTGTTTTTTGTTGTTGGTTTTTTTTTTTTTTTTTTGTTTTTCTCCGGTACCGGGAACCGAACTCACGACCTTGCGCTTGCCAGGCAGGCACTTTTGCCACTGAGCTAAATCCCCAGCCCCCCTTCTTTCTGTTTTTTTTTGTCTTTTGACACAGGGTCTCGCTATGCAGTTCAGGCTAGCCTTAAGCTCACTTTGTAGCCCACACTGGTCTTGAACTCACAACAATCCTCCTGCCTCAGCCTCCTGAGTGCTGGGATTACAGGCGTGTGCCACCATGCCTGGCACCTTTATTTCTTACTGCTGTTCAAGGTAAGTGGGAACCCCTCTTGGGCACTATCTGCAGATCCTATAGCATATGTTATTCAAAAATCTTACAGCCCTCTTTTGAGTATGTGTAGGCAGTCACCCACAGGATGAGTGCAGGAACTGTTCCACATTAATGGTGTGTCAGCTGGGTCAGGGCTGGGTCTGTGGGTATATGAAAGACAGCTATGGTGTGCTCTGAAGCCAAACGCATTTGGAAATAAGCTGCTATTTACTTATGTCTAATTTATGTATTTTTTTTTGCTGTGCTAAATGCATATACAATTGACCATTTAAACTGGGAACAGTGGTGTATGCCTGTAATCCCAGCACTTGGGAGGCTGAGGCAGGAGGCCCCTCTCCTTTATAGAGAGCATCTTGCTATGTAGTTCACACTGGCCTTGAACTTGCGGCAATCCTCCTGTCTTAGCCGCCCGAGTGCTGGGATTACAGGTGTGCACTACCATGCCCAGCTGGAGGATCCCCTTGAATTTGAGGCTGGTCTGGGGTATATAGCGAGTTTAAGGCCAACTTGAACTTCACAGGGAGATTCCATCTCAACAAAAACAAATAAAAAATTGCTCATTTAAATCATTTCAAAGTGTACCACTCAGAAGTATTTAGTATATTCACAGTAATTATAACTTAGGATCTAGCTCTGGGAAATATTTTACCCCTCCCCGCCCACAAAGAAAACCTGTTCTATTAAGGAGTCATTCCTCACTCTTCCTGCAACTATTAATGTATTTTCTGTCTCTACGGGTTTGCCTATTCTGCCAATGGATGTTTCATACACAGATACAGGTGCCTTGACTTATAATGTAGTTCCATCCCAATGGAGCCTAAGTTAAAAATACATTTAACATCCTGATAACTGCACCCTAAAAACCTAGCAATGGTGAGCTGAGCCATCCTAAGTCAAGATGCTTCTCAGAGAAATTTCAACGCGGTTAAGTCCATGAAAATATGAACAACAAAGTAAAGTCACTGCCGCCCATAAACGGTAGTCATATAGGACTGGCCTGTCCCTGTTGCATTTGCTTCTTCCATAGAGCACAGTGCTCGCAAAGCTCTTCCATGTGCATCAGCTGTCAGCACTTTGTTCCTTTTCATGATGCCACATTCTGCTGTCCTTTTTCATGTGGCGGCCATCAGGGTTATTCCCACCTACAGAACATTATGGAAGGTGTGCGATGAGCGCTTGTGTACAAGGTTTTGCCTGGATACTTATTTTCAGTGCTTCTGGGTGTGCACTTAAGTGTGGGACGCCTGGATCATATGATAACTCTATGTTTACCTTGATGTGGAAGCACCAAACTTTTACCACAGCAGTCACGTTGTTTTATGTCCCTTCCTGTGATGTACAAGGGTTCCAATTTCCACCAGCTCTGCAAACACTTGTTAGTTTTCAATGTTTTGATTAAAGCCATGCTGATAGCGATGAAGGGGCATCTGATTGGCTTTGACTCGCATTTCCCTCATGACTAATGATGCTTGGCTGTGCTAGCATGTGGCTGCTGACCAGCTGCTTATCTTCCTGGAGAAATGCTACTGCAGGCCTTTATTTCTGTTTTTTTTTTTTTTTTTTCCCCCTCCGGTACCGGGAACTGAACTCACGACCTTGCGCTTGCCAGGCAGGCGCTTTTGCCGCTGAGCTAAATCCCCAGCCCCAAGGCCTTTATTTCTGGATTGGGTTGTTGTCTTCTGCTGTGTTCAAGACTTTTTCTTTTGCCTTTGTCTTTTAACAGTTTGATTCAGATGTGTCTTGGTGAGTACTTCTTATCCTAGGTGGAGTCCATTTAGCTTTAAGGGGGCACAGACTCATCCTTAATTAAACTTGGTAAGTTTTAGCCAATATTTCTTCACATGTTCTTCTGCTCCTTTGGTTCTGTTCTCTTTTTGCACTCCCTTAACTCAAACACTGATACACTGGATGGTGCTTCACAGGTCTCTCAGGTTTGGTTCACTTTTCTTTATTCTTTTTCCTCCAACTGGATAATTTCAACTGACCTATCTTCAAGATCTCTGATTCTTTTGCTTGCTCAAATGTGCTACATATTTTTTATTTTTGGAATCTTTAGGTACAGCATTTAAAAAAAAAAAAAAAAAAAAAAATCAAAAAAATTTTTTTATTTTTCTGAGATAGAAAAAGGAGACAGGCCCAGGCTGGCCTCAAACTCCCAGTTGTCTTCCTGGCTTGGTACAGCATTTTTAAAGGCTTCTTTTCATACTTCCTCTTTACTGATATTTTGTCTACTTCTTCATACACTGTGCTACTAATTGCCTTTCGTCCTTTGTCCATGATTTTCCTTAGTTTTCTGACCATGTTTACGATAAGTGTAAGCCCAGTGTCTGTGTCCTCTCAGGCTTGGTTTCTGTCCACTGCTTTTCCCAGTGAATGAGTGACTCCATCTTGTTTCTCTGTATGTCTTACAAATTACCGTAAAAAACT